CAAGGCGAGCGTGCCGCATCCGTGGTACGGATGAGAGAAAGGTATATCCTCGACGGTTGCCAATTCGCCGTTCGACTCGCCCGTCAACTCGGCCTCCAACACCTCCCTCTCTTCCATGGACGAAACCCCTGAGCCCGCCAAGAACTCCCGCGGTGTCCTTCTGGACACGTATGGCAACGAGTTTGAGATTCCCGACTACACGATCAAGCAGATCCGCGATGCCATTCCCAAGCACTGCTTTGAGCGCTCCGCCATTCGTGGTCTTGGCTACGTCGCCCGCGATCTCGCTTCGCTGGCCACTACCTTCTACGTATTCCACAAATACGTGACCCCTGAGACGGTGCCCTCGATGACGGCTCGTGTACTGCTCTGGACTCTGTACACCGTCCTCCAGGGTTTCTTCGGTACTGGTCTGTGGATTCTGGCCCACGAGTGCGGCCACCAGGCCTTCTCTCCCTACAAGATCCTCAACGACACCGTCGGCTGGATCTGCCACTCCTTTCTCCTTGTCCCCTACTTCTCCTGGAAGATTTCCCACGGCAAGCACCACAAGGCTACCGGCAACATGGAGCGTGACATGGTCTTCATTCCCAAGACGAGGGCCGTTTACGCCACTCGCGTCAGCCGTGCCATTCACGAGCTCCACGAGTTGACTGAAGAGACTCCGATTGCTACCTTCATTCACACTTTCGGTCAACAGATTGGCGGATGGCCCATGTACCTCATGGCCAATGTCACCGGGCACAACAACCATGACCGCCAGCCAGAGGGCAAGGGCAAGGGCAAGAAGAACGGCATGTTTGGGGGTGTTAACCACTTCAATCCCTCCAGCCCTCTATTCGAGAAGAAGGACGAGCATCTAATCCTGCTCAGTGATCTTGGTCTTGCTATCGTCATCGCCGGCCTTACCTGGGTTTACAAGAACTATGGTTTCAACAACCTGCTCGTCTGGTACATCATCCCCTACCTCTGGGTCAACCACTGGCTCGTTGCCATTACCTTCCTGCAGCACACCGACCCCTCCCTGCCTCACTACGATGCTGAGACCTGGACCTACACTCGTGGCGCTGCTGCCACCATTGACCGTGAATTCGGATTCATCGGACGCACTCTTCTCCACGGCATTGTCGAGACCCATGTTCTTCACCACTACATCTCCACCATTCCCTTCTACCACGCTGATGAGGCGACCGAGGCCATCAAGGTCGTCATGGGCAAGCACTACCGTTCTGACGTCAAGGAAGGCCCCATTGGGTTCTTGAAGGCCATCTGGAAGGCTTCACGTTGGTGCCAGTGGGTTGAGCCCAGTGTTGGTGCTCAGGGTGAGGGCAAGGGCGTCCTGTTCTTCCGCAACTCAAACGGTCTTGGTGTCCCCCCAGCGAAGATCGAGCCGGTCACGGCGACCAAGTCGGCGCCCGCAAAGGCGGCCAAGATGCAGATTGGTGCTGACAGCGACAATGAGTAAAGGATGAGCAGGCGACGAGCGTTGTTTTATGATTTAGAGCAAACATTTCTACGTTCTCGCTGAACGGCGTTTTGGAGTCGTCCTGAAGGACTAGGCTCTCTTTTCTTTCCTTCGTCTTTCTCTTGGTGTCCAGCATTAGACCTTAGACGTGAGGGATGGTTGATTGCATAGTAAGCGATATCCCACTCTGAGCTGGAGGCGAGTCTTGTAGACGGGGGATTTTGGTAGAGACAAAAGCAATTCGAGCAGGCCAAGTACAGTTATAAAAACAAAGTGCGCAGTAAAAGTGAAGTTTGGGTGTGAGTGTAACAGGTCTCTGGTTGTATGTATGTGTGTGTGTGTGTGTGGGTGTGTGTGTGTGTGTGTGTGTGTGAAAAGAGCTTCCCCGCACCAGCTGGCCGCGCAATCCCGGTGACTTAGAGGGCCATTCCCATGGCACCAAGGGGACCTCGGGATGCCGCTGTCAGGTCATCGGTTGTATTCACATGCTTGATTGACGTGGGCTCCAGCTGGCTCCAGCTGGCTCCAGCTCCAGCACCAAGCTGCGCAGTGAAGTGCTCTGCCATGACAATGTTTAAGACCTGGCTCACCGGAAGGCTGACAAGACCAAATCAATCAGGCGAGTTGTGGATGCTGTTGTAGTCTCATCTCGAGACATCTGGTCATACTCTCATCACCTAGGTCCTACACCACCATCTTCCCCCACACAATCGTCACATCTGCTCGCGTCACGTCCATCAAGAAAAGTGCTGTGTATGTAGCGACGTTGGTAAGGAACGAGATATCATCAGCCAATGCCTCGTCTGCTCCAGCTACCTCGCCCGGTGAGTCGTGCTCTGGGGCACGTAATAGAGGCCAGTCAGGTAGAGTGCCAAACTTTCCTACAATAAATTGTGCCCGAAATGAGTTGGAAAAAAGAAGAAGAGGAAGAAGAGGCGGGCGAGGAAAAGAATTTTGGCAGGCAAGGCACGGATGCGCACACGCTCGGACTCCAGCTTCCTGACCAATCAAGGAGCGGATTATGAGACAGTGCCGGGGGAGTGCCAAGGGGGGGAACGTCAAGCGTTCTTTGAAGTCACTGAGGGCAGAGAGCTCCGCCGCAAACACGCCCATCGTTCCCCCCCTCCCCGAGCCCTCACCATGCTGCGGCAACAATTGATCCGGTCGCTGAAGAGGCCTGCCTACCGCGCAGCCCTCAATGGCAGCCGGGCCTTTACTGCCTCGGCGCCCCGGCCTGCAGAGGTCGAACTCACCATAGGTTTGTGCCACCAACGCCTCTCTACACTGCGGCCAGCCACGAGTACTGACAAGACATGCGGCAGATGGACAAAAGGTCTCGATTGAAGGTATGTCCGCCCCCCGCCTCGCCGTATACCATCTTCGCACCCTCACCAGCCTAACTCCCTCTCCCAGCCGGCGCTGCCCTCATCCAGGCGTGCGAAAAGGCCGGAGTGACGATTCCCCGTTACTGCTACCATGAGAAGTTGATGATTGCTGGGAGTTGCCGTATGTGTCTGGTCGAGGTCGAGCGCGCCCCCAAACCCGTGGCCTCGTGCGCCTGGCCCGTCCAGCCGGGCATGGTCGTCAAGACCAATTCGCCGCTCGTCCACAAGGCGCGGGAGGGTGTCATGGAGTTCCTGCTTGCCAACCATCCGCTCGACTGCCCCATTTGCGATCAGGGAGGCGAGTGTGATCTGCAGGACCAGTCGATGCGCTATGGAGCCGATCGCGGACGGTTCCACGAAATCGGCGGCAAGCGTGCTGTCGAAGACAAGAACATTGGGCCTTTAATCAAGGTACGAACAACCAGACGTCTTCTACTTGCCGCTCTCCTAACCCGCCACAGACATCCATGAACAGGTGTATCCACTGCACACGATGTGTGCGCTTCTCCAACGACATCGCCGGCGCCCCGGAAATGGGCTCCTTCGGCCGCGGTAACGATCTCGAGATCGGCACCTACCTCGAAACCGCCCTTGACTCTGAACTCTCCGGAAACGTCATCGATCTCTGCCCCGTGGGTGCTCTCACGTCGAAGCCTTATGCCTTCAAGGCCCGGCCATGGGAGCTGTACAAGACGGAGACCATCGATGTCCTTGATGCTCTAGGTTCCAACATTCGCGTCGACTCCCGAGGCCTCCAAGTCATGAGGGTCCTACCCCGCCTCAACGACGACATCAACGAAGAATGGATCAACGATAAGACTCGCTTCGCTTGCGATGCTCTCAGCACCCAACGCCTCGTCAATCCCCTCATTCGCGTCAACGATCAGTTTCAGCCGGCTAGCTGGGAACAGGCTCTTGTAGAGATTGGCAATGCTTACAAGAAGCTGGCACCAAAGGGTAACGAGTTTAAGGTGATTGCCGGTCACCTTGTGGAGACCGAGACTTTGGTCGCTATGAAGGATCTGGCAAACAAGCTTGGTTCGGATAATCTGGGTCTTGACCAGCCTGGCGGCAGCGAACCCATCGCCCACGGTATCGACATCCGATCAAACTACGCCTTCAACTCCAGAATCTATGGTGTAGAGGACGCTGATGCCATTTTGCTTGTCGGCACCAATCCCCGCCACGAGGCTGCGGTGCTCAATGCTCGTATTCGAAAGCAATGGCTGCGATCAGATCTAGAGATTGGCCTTGTTGGCGAAGACTTTGAGAGCACATTTGAGTACCAGAAGCTCGGAGGTAGCGCTACCGACCTCAAGAGCGCTCTGTCTGGCGAGTTTGGAAAGAAGCTGGCGTCGGCGAAGAAACCAATGATCATTGTTGGCAGCGCCGTTACTGAGCACGCTGATGCCAAGTCGTTTTACGAACAGATTGGCGCCTTCGTCGAGAAGAACAAGGCCAACTTCCTCACTGAGGAATGGAACGGCTTCAACATCCTGCAGCGAGCAGCTTCCCGTACTGGTGCCTATGAGGTTGGTTTTACTGTTCCGTCGCCCGAGGTCGCGCAGACGAAGCCCAAATTCGTATGGCTCCTCGGAGCTGACGAGATCAACGAGGCAGAGCTGCCCAAGGATGCTTTCGTCGTCTACCAGGGTCATCATGGCGACCGAGGCGCACAGCTCGCCGATGTCGTGCTTCCCGGTGCGGCATATACCGAGAAGTCAGTCACTTATGTCAACACTGAAGGTCGCGTACAAATGACTCGTGCGGCTGTTGGACTCCCGGGTGCCTCAAGAGACGACTGGAAAATTGTTCGTGCTGCGTCAGAGTACTTGGGTGCGGAGCTTCCGTACGATGATGTTGAGCAATTGCGTGACCGCATGGTCGAGATTTCACCTGCTCTGCGGAGATACGACCTTATTGAGGACACATCGGTAGCAAGCCTGAGTAAAGTGCAGCTTGTCGACCAGAATAAGGGTACACAAGCGACCGGTGCGCCTCTTAAGAAGCCGATTGAGGACTTCTACTTCACAGATGTGATTTCCAGAAAGTAAGTTACACTGCACTGCCCTGCCGGCTGATAGATCATATTATGCTAACCCATATCCAGCTCACCAACAATGGCCCGTTGCTCGGCAGCAAAAGCACAAAAGAACCCCGAGACCAACTTCATGGCTCCTGGATACCCAGAACCTCAAGTTGGCTACGGACCGCAGAAGGCGATTGCGGCGAATGTATGAGCTTCTAAAGTTTGAGTGCTGAATTGCCGTCACAATTATGCAGCGTGATTGTACATAGGGTTGGAAGGAAGGTTATCGGATCATGTTTGTGAGCTCCAGGATGTAGAGTGTACGAGTTTTTAAGCGCAATTGTTGACCTTGTTTCTTATGCAATGTGAAGTTGTTACTGGCCATACTACTAGTTGCCTGTGGGATGTGATGATGGCCAAGCCGCTACTCTAACAAGCTTTACTGCATCTTTGCGCATGACATCGTTTCCCACCATCTCTTGGAATGCACCTTGTCATCGTTGCATGCTATCATACCAGTTGTTGCTTGGAAACTATTGCTCGAAAAAGCCATACTTGGGTCCAACGGCCAACGACACAGGTCTTTCTCCGCTTGCTCATTGGAAGTATTTTGAAATTTGTCAGGGAGAATTCTCAATCTGTTCTAAAGGTTTGCAGTGTGCCACCTTCAAGCTTCGCCTAGCAACAGCCAAGCTATCCGTCATCGACATTACCTAAGCATGCCTACCTTGGCACTGACCGACTTCAACATTGTCTGCGCGACCTTGGGAGGCTTCATCACTGTCTTCGGTTTGGTGTCGTATCTGCTGAAAGAGAAGTTTTACCTATCCGAAGCGCGTACGTCCACTTGCCTTCGATTCTCGACAAGCTCGCACGCACGCAAGCACGCTCAATCTGACCATGCACCTCTAGTCATCTCCCTCCTCGCAGGCGTCATCTTCGGTCCTCATGCCACCAACCTTATTAAACCAGAAGAATATGCACTCCAAGATCCGGAAGTTGTCGAGACAATCACCCTCTATTTTACCCGTCTAGTTCTCGGTGTTCAGCTTGTCCTAGCAGGTGTGCAACTCCCGTCGAAGTACCTGAAAACAGAATGGAAAAGTCTTGCTTTCCTTCTTGGTCCCGGCATGACAGTCATGTGGCTTGTCACTAGTCTTTTGGTTTTTGCTTTCGTCCCGCATATCAGTTTTTTGCATGCTTTAGCTGTGGGCGCGTGCGTTACGCCTACGGACCCCGTCCTGTCCAATTCCATTGTAAAGGGCAAGTTTGCGGATAAGAATATTCCAAAAGAGTTGCAGAAGATTATTGTTGCGGAGTCGGGCGCGAATGATGGGCTTGGTTATCCGTTTCTGTTCTTGCCGCTCTATTTGATTCAGCATATTGGGCATGGAGGCCAAGCTCAAGATGGTAGTGCAAGGAACGCGGTGGGTCTATGGTTTGGAGAGACTTGGGGATATACGATCTTGTTGAGTATCTTGTATGGTGCGACAGTGGGTTGGATAGCGAAGGAGCTCTTGCATTGGGCGGAGGAAAGGAAGTATGTCGACCGAGAGAGCTTCCTGGTGTTTGCGATTACGTTGGCGGTGGGTACTAGCTTCAGCCCGAGGTTGAATTTCACTAACTTATCATAGCTCTTCATTGTCGGTACGGTTGGCATGGTTGGGAGTGACGACGTTCTGGCATGCTTTATTGCTGGGAATACTTTTACATGGGAGTACGATAACTTCTACAACGTCAGCCACTTGTAATGAGCTAATTGCCCGACAGCGACTGGTTTCGACTAGAAACAATGGACGATTCTTTCCAGCCCACAGTCGACATGCTCCTCAATGTCTCAGTCTTCATCTGGTTTGGCGCCGTATGCCCATGGTCCGAATTTCACCACAACAGCGTTATTCCAATTTACCGTCTCATCTTCCTTGGAATCCTAGTACTGCTACTCCGTCGGCTACCCATCGTCTACGCACTCCGAAAATGGATACCTCAGATCGAGCAAAAGCGGCAGGCGTTCTACGTTGGCTTCTTCGGACCCATCGGCGTGAGCGCCATCTTCTATCTTTATATCAGCCTCGAGTTCCTGCGCAAGATCAGAGTGGACGGCGAAATCAGACAAGATGCAAAATATCTCATGGAAGTCATGAACACAGTAATTTGGTTTCTGACCATCTGCTCTATTGTAAGTCTTCACGTTCTGCCCAAGTTTAAACCTATCATTAGCATGAAATTAACAAAAAAAACCATACGATAGGTTACACACGGTCTCAGTATCCCCATGGCCAAACTCGGCTTCTTCATCCCTCGCACCTTGTCGCGCGCCCTGTCCTCCCAGCGCGAGGAAGACCCCCAATCATTTCACATCCAAAACAACTTACAAGACGCAACGACTGATGTTGAGCTTAGACTTCGTCGACGTGGGCCTGGCTGGTCACGCAATGCAGGTGACTCATTGCCTCGCCGCGTTGTCCGAATCGGTAGGTCCATCATCAGTTCGGGCACTAGTCCAGACGAGCAATCGAAAGCGCCATCGATGCCGTTGGCCGTGGTACCGTCGGTGGTGATGGCGCAGAACGACCAAGCGCCTTCCTCAACTATGGCGCCGGATGTTGTTGTAGCGCAACCTGCGCCGACGACTCAGAGGATTCGGTTCCCAGATGAGGAGTGCAATGCAGATCTTGCAGAGTAGAGTTGATCCATCGTTCGCCCGATTGTTCTCCTAACATCATATACGATACAGAGTTTAAAGGGTATACTGCTCAATCTAGAGGAATTCGTAGAGCGAGAATGCAATGGGACTGTAAAATTGGAGGTGTTGGGACAATAGGGTAGGAATTTTGTAGACTCTCTGCGTATTCTGCTGGCTTCCCCTATGTATATGTTCGTCCGTACTCTATGGATTATGAACTTTCACTATTCTATCGCTTCTTCGATTGCCCAACAGTAGCGGGATTCGACGCGCGCTGAGCCGCACTCCCAGAGTCCGTCTTGCCAGCCATCCATGAGGCGAGATCGAAATTTTGTATTTGTTGTGCGGTATTTGTCGATCCTGAGCCCAGGACACCGGTCTTCTGCATCTCCTCAAACTCCTCTTTCATCTCCGGATCCACTACATATTTATTAGCATTCTGATTAGCTACGGTCGATGGACAACTTACTATTCTCCATCAATTTGGGCATGCCGAAGATCAGGCCCATAGACACGACTGCCATGAGAATCATGGGATTCTTCAAGAAGGATAACGGCGAGACTGAAAATTTCAGCAATGCTTTCTAGAACGTATGTGTTTTTCGGTCACTTACACCCTTGCCTCTCCTGGTAAAAGTACTTCTTCGCTAGCGGTCTTGCCTCAATCACCAAACCGTTCCCACCTTCTCCCCTGCTCTCGCCCTTGTTGTCCCACTCGTTACCCAGAAATGTCTGCCACGCCCTGATCATCTCCTTTTTCTCTCCGCTGCCCTCTACAGCCTCCTCGATACTGACGTCGATGCGCAGCGGCTCAAACGCGTAGTCGCGGCAATGCACGGTAGCGAGGTAGCTACCCGCGCTGACATTATTGAAGTTGAATGTATTTGAGCGCGTGAGGTATGCATCTAGTGGAGGCCCAGATGATTGCAGGGTTGCATGTGTTGTAGACGGAAGAGTGGAGGGGTTTACAAGGTGCGTATTGGGGATCTGGAGGAGTAGACGCGCAGCGGAGCAGAAGGAGACCAGCGGGGTCAGAGAAAATATCGAATTCTTCATCGTATTATGCAAATATTCTGAGGGGCGGGGTTTCTTGAATGGTATGTACACAGAGAGCTGCTAAATGGCGTTGTTGCTTCAGAGGGATGCCCGGAAGAACAATCCGCCGATACCGGTACATGTTTGCCTTCCACCATCCATCTGCACCCAAGACGCATCCGCAACCATATTGCGGTTTCATCCTCAATTCACCAGTGAGCCCATATCAAATATTGTTCTCTATGCTTGGAAAGAAAAGCCACATCTAAATTTCATCGTAATCGATAGACTCAACCCACTGGTTACTACACATGGCTTCTGATTAGATTTCAAGCGAGGTATGGTATTCAATGGAATATCTCAATGTGGTCTGAGCAGCCGATCAGACGATCGTAGCTCCTACTCCATGAAAATGCCCTCCGAAATGGGTCTGGATGTAATATATTTCCAGGGCAGTGTTGTATCACGTACCTCAAGACGTTCGATGGTGCAACTATTCCACTCTTCAGGTAGTACTCTGCATCGAATATCATCCATTGGGGCGGATTCCAGCACTGTATACGGTAGCATATCTCTAACATCAGTGCAAGATACATGGGCATTGTTTCCTCCGAATGCGACAGCATCTACCGGCGCTGCGCTTTACGGTAGTGATCAAGCTAACAGTGCATCCACGCCCAGGCCGGAAGTGTACATTAGGGCGCAATCAGCCCAAACGGCTAGACCAGGTCAAAAGTATTCGCCCCACACCTCCCAACAACCTGAAAACTCCCTTTACTTTGTACATTACTTGGATCCCCGCTTTATTTGACGTGCGGAGTCTTTCTTTCATCGCTCTAAAGACAAAGATAATGGTCTATACAGACGAAGAGCAACCCCTGCTCCGGATAATCTCCCATGACCAAGATTCTAACTGCCAAACCAATGACGAAGGTACTTTGGACTTCGAGCCTCGGGACCCTGAGGATCCCCGTAACTGGCGACCGGCTTTTAAATGGAGTATTGTGTTACTGCTAGCATTAATGGCTTTCACTGTGTAAGGTCTCCTACCACCGCAATCTCCCTTGTTGTACGGTTGCTGATTGACTGTAGCACATTCACATGTATTGGTGTGGTTCCCGTTGCTAGCCAGATTGTCGAAGACCTTGATGGGAAACATGCAAGTTCTTCGACCAGCGCCCTCCTCGTTACCATCTGGGAGCTGGGTGAAGCTGCCGGGCCTCTCCTCATTGCTCCGCTGAGCGAGGTCTTTGGTCGTTATCCTGTTATGAACGCGTGTAACATTGGGTTCATCGCAGCGACTGTGCTTGCAATTGGCAGCCAAAATAGTAAAGTCTTCATTGCTGCGAGGATGCTCACTGGACTTGCTGTTGCTTCCAATGTGCTCAACCCTGCCATTATTGGAGACATGTTTGAGTCGGACCAGCGTGGATCAGCGATGAGTTTGATCATGCTTGCACCACTGATCGGTGGCGCCATTGGCCCAGCCATATCTGGAGCCATTGCGCAGGCGATGGGCTGGCGACAGATCCTCTATATTGCACTTGGTCTCGCTGTGCTTTGTGAACTATCTTTTCTTATGTACTTCCGAGAGACATACAAATTGGCCATTCTCAGACGGCGAATCGCAGTGTCCCACCGTGATAGCTGTGGGCCCGAGGAATCCCTGGACAACGACACGAGACACAAGAATATTTTGAAGCTCTGGCATTCAGTCACTCGGCCCTTTGCTGTACTCTTTGGATCGAAAGTGCTCATGCTTCTTTCGGTGTTTGCATCCGTTTCTTTTAGCTATTTCTACGTCATCTCCGTATCATTGCCAGGTATCCTGGTTGATCTCTATGATTTCACGCCTACACAGACTGGCTCAGCATTTGTATCGTTCAGTAAGTCTCATCCCAGCTTACAATTTACTTGTGTAGACAATTTTTTGAAAATCAAGCTGAGCAGAAGACAGGCATCGGTTCCTTTATCAGCGTTATGGTCTGCAACTTCAGCCTCGACCGCATATACATCCGCCTCCGTCGTCGGTCAAATGCAGAAGCAAAGCCAGAGTATCGGCTGCCACTTGGTATCCTGGGAGCATTCCTACTCCCCCTATCAATCACGAGCTATGGCTGGATAGCGCAGTACAAACTTTCTGTTTTCCTACTTCTCGCGTCAGTTTCCTTGATGGGCTTCGCGTTACTGCTTACAATGGTGCCTCTCTCTGCGTACGTCGTCGACGCTTGCGGTATATACTCTGCATCTGCTATGACAGGCGTAATTGTGACGAGGTGCTTGGCAGGCACCTTCTTCCCGTTAACAACAGCTCCCTTAGTTAAGCACTTGGGCTACGGCTGGGGTTTCACTTGCTTCGGAACTCTGAGCTTATCCCTTTCCATTGTGCCTATTTTGATATTGCGGTTTGGACATAATTGGCGGCAATCTTCAGACTTCACGAAAGACGCTTAGAAGAGTCTCGGTCTAGATTAGGTGTTGAAAGTCATATTCTCTACACTAAGTTTATCACCCAAAGTTTCGACTACGTCTTAATCCTCTTCTGGGGTCATTACTCAATGTGTACAGGTAGGTTCAGCTTTACTGCAGTGGACCTAATGCTACAAGGTACAAGGCTCTCCCAGCCGTCGCGCAAGGACCGTTCAACCCTTTGTGTGACTTCACCAAAACAAAACCTGTATTGATGCCGCACATTCAACTACACGGCACATCTCAACGCGTGCTGAGATCCTTACTGAAGAGCTCAAGTGTTATGCACACGATCATGACAAGTCTGTTGCACAGTAACCTATCTGTCGGCCACTCACATGGGCGTACGATGATATGTCCCTTGGCCACAGGGAGGACCGGTAACTCGCAGTTACTTGCAAACCATATTGCTCATAGATAGTGCTAACCTTGTGTAATATCTTGGGCTCGAAATGGCTGGGGAAATGATGTGATGCTGGAAAGCATAGTTATAGTCGCGTATTTATCCAATTTGTGCGGTTTCAGGCAGATATCTGCTAGTCACCATGCAACTGCCACAGGGAGCAAAAGCAAGGCAGCTTGTCACTGCCTTCTTGACGATTCGGCAGATCACTCGCAGATGTGGCGTCTTTTGGTGAAAAGTGTTACCGGTCCCTGGTATAAATGAGGATCCATCATCTCCGTATTCCTTTCTTCGATCCCCATAAACTCATCTGACTTTTAATACTACCTAACCTACGCGCAGTGACTTTACATAATGCTTTCCCTCACCCTAGCTCTCACAGCCTTCATGGCCACCACCTCTGCGCTTCCTGCAAGCAATGCGCCAGCCTACGATCACCCGTCCGACGGCTTCCACCTTATTATTAAATCTAGTAACCTAAGCTTTGATGGGTAATCTTGTCTCCTACTCCATCTATAGCCTCGTCGCTAAAATGAGCCAGCTTTGCTCTAGCAGCTTGTCATAGAGGTGCGGCGGTAGAAAGTCTCTGCCAAAGCAAGGCCCGCGCTGGCTCCGATCCTCGTAGTCTCTATAGATACTACCACAAAGCTAGTTCTTATAACGCCGTCAATGCCGGGGGTAGTCTCATATACGTCCTGCAGATGATGGGTGGCCAGCAAGTCCCGTCTGCAATGCATTTCAGTGATCGCAAAGGAACCAACACGCAGGAAATGATGTTTCAGCCTGGCGAGGGCGATGGGAGTGCTCAGATCAGTTTTGATGAGTCGGGTGGTATGTGGAAGGATGGCAGTGCAGAGAAGTGGTATATGTGCGAAACTACGAGTGGATACCCCATGAATCTTTTGGTCTGGGTCAATGGAGACGCGCCAACACCGCAGGAACCAGCTTGTCAGAAAGTGAAGGTGCAGAGGATCTGGGCTTGAGACTTTGCGCAAAGCAGTAAGCCTGGAATGATCGGAGTTATGTTTGCCTGAGACTGATGTTTACTACTGTTGCCAAAGTGCTGGAAGTCGAAGGATGGCGATGCTCGATTTCTACAGTCTATAAAAATTATCATCATACACTCCTTGATGCAGTAAGACACGGGATACTGTATTTTTTTTTAATCATATCTGCGTGCGACCACGGGAATGCTGCTTCCATAATAGAAGCTCACTGACAAGCAGATACGCTCCTGCAGTCACCTCTCTGCCACACTGGTCGCCTTGCCTCTGTCCTCACATGCCTCGTACTTGTTCATACACGTGCGGAGAGGGTCATTGAGGGATGTTGGCCCGTTCTACATGTGTGAGCGACATTTGGAATAAACACGATCATCTCATTTGAGAATAGCAGCGCGTCACTAGAATATAGGAAAGCGATTGCATAGAATGGTAATACCAGATGATACCGGATTCACGATTGAAGGCACAGCTCTCGTGTCGAAGTAGCAATTGGGAAGCTGCCGAATTGCGGATACAGTTTCTGATCAAGAGTGCGATGATCAGCGTGACAAAGACGGGATAGTGTGCATGCGTTTCCATCAACCCCAGCACAATAATGCCAGACCTTTTAGAGAAGTGTTGATGATGTCGAACACCGTTGAAGGCTGAGATGAACATGCGGGCGGCGCTTTGACCCCACTTAACGCGTCGACGCGTCCCACTCCAACACGCGCGACGACCCTCGTCCCGTTAACACTACATTGTGTCCGATACCATGTCTGTCTACCAAAGACTACGTGCCCGCCAGGCTCGTAAGTAACACCGATCGAGCCTTGGATAATAGTAGCTAATTCACCCTGAGACGCCCCCGGAGCCACATATCTTGCCTACACACCCAACGGCAAGAAACTCGTCACGGCAGGAATCGACAACTACTGTCGAGTGTTTAGTACTGGGTCAGATGACGAGCCCATCACTGTAGACGATTGTCAGGAGAATAATAACGCTGTGGTCGCTGGTGTAGGTACAAAGCGGAACTTGGGAAGGGATCAATCCGGTGGACTGACAAGTGACACAGAATGATTTTTTCATTACCGGTTCCGAAGATGGAACAGTGAGCAAGTACTCATTAGAAAATGGCAAGTTTGAGGAGATACTTGTCAGGACCACATTGCCTGTACGAGATGTGGCGATCAGCCCCAATCGTAACTGGATTGCGGTTGCGAGCGAGTATGTTACTGCCATTTTTTGCGCGGTTCTTGCAGCAGACATGCTAATTTGCATAGTGAACTTGTCGTTAATGTAGTGAGCACCAAAGATATGACACAAGTAAGAACCCTCCGCGAGCAACCCCGGGCTGTGAAGCATGTCTCCTTCGACAAAACGGGCAATCAATTGGCGGTATCTTGCACCGATGGCAACATCTACATGTACAATCTATCCGAAGACCAACCGGAGATGATAAAGAAAGTGGATGGCGGTATGATCAAGAGCTTGGAGACAGACTCAGAGTCCAGCTCGAAAGTGCTGTGGCATCCCGATGGCCGTGCCTTTGCGACGCCGACACCATTGCGGCAGATGCAGGTCATGTCGACAAGCGACTGGGAAAGACAACGCATATTCAAGACAGGGCATTCCGCTGACATCACCGCGGCGGCTTGGTCCCCGAATGGCGCGCTGTTGGCAACGACGAGCAGCGATCTGACATTGTGTCTATGGGACACGCAAACGCAACGGCAATTGAAGAGGTGGGATGATGTTAGGGCGACAATCTTGGCGATGGCATGGCATCCTACGGAGAATATATTGTCGTATACGAATAACGAAGGCGAGCTGTTCATACATACCGACTTTGTACCCGAAGAGCATATTGCATTACTGCAGAAGCCCACGGTATCAGCGCCTTTCTTTCACGACCCCTCGGAAGGCCGAGCAGGCATTCCCCTAGCACAACAACCCATCAATGGTGCAAAACATGTCTTGCCGGGACGACCAAGGCAAAGAGAAGGCACGCCCGATTCTTTGGACGACCTCCTCGGCCCCGAATTCTCGGACACAGAGGCTGGCGACGATGGCGATGCTGATATGCAGGACTTCGTCGTCGACGATGACGGCGCAGGCTATGCCATTGGCCAAGCAGGACTCAAGAAACGACCGAATGGTCATCTTGGCACAGCCAATGAACCCGCCTACAAACGCCGAGCCTATAATTCCACTTCACTCTTCAATCCTCGTGTCCACGAATCCTTCCAGCCAGGCAGCACCCCTTGGCGAGGACAACGACGTCTGCTCTGCTGCTCTCTCACTGGATATGTTGAGACGGTGGAGCAAGAAGGCAGACATCACACTGTCAGCGTGAAATTCTATGACGAGCACACGTTTCGAAATTTTCATTTTACCGATGTTTTCCTCTACGACAAGGCCTCGCTCAATGAGAACGGGACACTCTTTTCCTGCCAGCCAAACAGTACCGGAGAGGGGAATCCAGCAATGCTATACTACCGTCCTCATGAAACTTGGACTAGCAGAACCGACTGGCGGACCAACTTACCCTTGGGGGAAAGCGTGACAGCAATTGCCTTGTCAGATTCATATATTTGTGTTACTACCTCTACGAACTATGTACGGATATATTCATTGTATGGGCTGCCAGTTAGGGTCTACCGACAAAAGAGTAGTCCGGCAGTGACATGTGCCGCATACCGCGACTACATCCTCACCATTGGCAACGGACCCGTAACCAGCGATCTAAGCACGCAACTGCTGTACACGATTGAAAATGTCAAGCACGACATTGTGTACCAGGACGCCGACATCCTGGCCCTGCCACCCAACACGACACTCACAAGCGTCTTCTTTTCCGCAGAGGGTGACCCCTACATCTACGATTCCTCCGGTGTCTTGCTCACGCTGCTAGGCTGGCGGGAACGGGGCCAGGCACGCTGGGTACCCATGCTGGACACAAAGTGTCTTGCCCGCCTCGCCGGTGGCGGAAAAGAAGAAACCTACTGGCCCGTCGGCGTGGCAGGCACCGGCTCAGACGCCGACGGCGTAAAATTTCATTGCATGATTATCAAGGGCAAGGAACAGTACCCCAGCGCCCCAGTACCGCATTTGACGGAATTCGGGTTCGAGATTCCCCTTGTTAGTGCGGTAGATAGGCAGAAGAGTCTCAAGGGGGAGAAGGGTACGATGGATGAGATGAGTGAAGACAACGACGACGACGACAACCATGGAAACGGGACCGCGAACGTGGAGAACAAACAACAACCACATGAACAGACATACATTCTCGCTTCCACACTCCACTCGCAACTCTCCTCTACGCTTGCGCACACGCGGCCTACGAGCTCGCAGAAGCAAGCCCTGGCGGCGCTCGAGGTGGCGGTCGACCGTGCGCTGTTGCAGTTGCTGGGCCTCGAGTGTTTGGCAGGCGAGGACCATGGGATGAAGGCATTGGAAATTGTGAGTATGATGCGGGATGCCAATGGCAAGATGTTGGACTTGGCGGGCAAGGTGGCGAGTCGCTATGGGAGAGAGGTGTTGGGCGAGAAGATTCGGGAGTTGGCGGAACGCAAGGCGTTGGCGAGGGGGGATGAGGATGAGGAATTTTAGACGGTGTCAAAAAGAGGATAACGTACCTCTGTCTGGTTTAATGCTCAATGTGTCAAGGATAGATCTGATAAGAATATGTGTGTGTTTGTGATGATGTCTGCCTGTCTATCTTTTGTTTTGCTGCCCCTATCACCCCTTATTTTAGTAGAGGGAGCTAGCTTCTGGTTGCACGTCCCTTTGGTGTTCCTCCCAGGACTCTGCTCTGTCTAACAACCTCACGAGTGAGTCGCTCACACGGGTAAGTCACTCACGTGTTACAAGTAACAGGCAAGACACCCCACCTAGACAAGGAGGATGTGTTGCAGAAAGGAGCTCACGAGCTTAATGGCTATCTCCTTCTACTTACCTAATCTAAATAAGGATCTATAGTCTCCTCTACTTACTAAGCTAACTAGAGGTAGATCTTAATACTAAGCTTTCCCTTAAGAGGAGCTTAGGTTAAAATGAAGATATTGTCTATAGAGTAACGTACCTTATAGGTAAGTTAGTAGTTTTAGTAGGGTCTTAGTAGAGTGTCCAACTCACCCGTGTGTCCGACTCACCCATGTGTCCAACTCACCCGTGAGGTACGTTAGGGTGTAGTTTTAGTAGGATCTTGGCAGCGTGAGCGACATACCTGTGTGAGCGACTCACCCGTGAGGTACATTATAATTCACAACTGACACAGAAGAGGATTCGAAATCATGCCATAGCACAATTTATCGGCATTAGTAAAAGGAGTAGTAACATAGAAAGAGGACAAAAACATCCCAAATCGCTGCATGCATGGGGTAACTACGCTAGCAGTCCCATCGAAACTCCGTAGCTTTGCTATTGCCAAAAGGCCAATGTAATGTCTGCTTCGCAAGCGTGGCTTCGAACTACAACGCCATTTGCCAATCAACAATCCAGAGCCGGACTACTCTTCACAAGTTCGGGCTCCAGTGCACAGCACTAGAAAAGCGTCTAGTACTCAGCTTCGACACCCTCATCGTCACCGAGGCTGTCGGCTGCCACCTCTTGATGATTGTTAGCTTGTTAATAATAGCACAATGGTTTCCAATGCTTACCTTCATAGTCTCTTTCCAAAGCTGCAAGATCTTCGCGCGCCTCGGAGAATTCACCCTCCTCCATACCCTCACCAACATACCAGTGGACGAAAGCACGCTTGCTGTACATGAGATCGAACTTGTGGGACAGAGCTGACCAGGCTTCGCTAATGGCAGTGGTGTTGGACAGCATGCACACGGCACGGTTCACGGCGGCGAGATCACCATTAGGAACCATCTGAGGTGGCTGGTAGCAGATACCAATCTTGAAACCAGTTGGGCACCAGTCGACGAACTGGACGGTGCGCTTGGTTTTGAGGTGGGCAATAGCGGCGTGGGTGTCCTTGGGGACCACGTCACCGCGGTACAGCAAGCAGGTGGCCATGTACTTTCCGTTGCGCGGGTCACACTTGACCATCTGGTTGTTGGGCTCGAAGCAGGCGTTGGTGATCTCCATGACCGAGTTGGCCTCGTGGGCGGCCTTGGCGGCAGAGATGACTGGAGCATAGGCAACAAGAGGGAAGTGGATGCGGGGGTAGGGGACCAAGTTGGTCTGGAACTCGTTCAAATCAACGTTGAGGGAACCGTCGAATCGGAGCGAGGCGGTAATGGATGAGACGACTATTCATTTGTCAGCTCACGTTCAGATGATGGTATGTATGTGTGTCAGGTGCAAAACCTACCCTGGGCGATCAGGCGGTTCAGGTTCTCGTAGTTGGGGCGCTCAATGCCCAGGTTCCTTCGGCAAATGTCGTAGATGGCCTCATTGTCCACCATGAAGGAGCAGTCGGAATGCTCGAGGGTGGTATGAGTGGTCAAAATCGAGTTGTATGGCTCCACGACCGAGGTGGCGACTTGGGGAGCTGGGTAGACGCAGAACTCGAGCTTGCACTTCTTGCCATAGTCGACAGACAGACGCTCCATCAGCAGAGCACCGAATCCAGAGCCAGTGCCTCCACCAAAGGAGTGGAAGACGAGGAAACCCTGGAGACCCGAGCAGTTGTCAGCCACGCGGCGGACCTTGTCCAGGACCTGGTCAATAAGCTCCTTTCCCACCGTGTAGTGGCCACGGGCGTAGTTGTTCGAGGCATCCTCCTTGCCTGTGATCATCTGCTCCGGGTGGAAGAGCGAGCGGTAAGGACCAGTGCGGACCTCGTCGACGACATTGGGTTCCAGATCAGCGTAGATGGTACGCGGGACATATTTGCCCTGGCCTGTGCATGGTTAGGGTCGAGTACAGGATTTTGGGGGCGTGGCTCAAGAAACGTACCGGTCTCAGAGAAGAAGGTGCTGAAACCGTGGTCGTCGTTCTGTGCCTTGCGCTCCTCGGTCAGGTAGCCGTCGGGCTGGATGCCGTGCTCGAGGCAGTAAAGCTATGATCGCCTGTTAGCATCATTGGTGGTGCACTGGCGGTCAAGGCAGCCGCTGTTGCGCAAAACTTCCCTCTCCCCCTCCTCCTTTTCGCGAGGAAGATGATTGAGAGGCAGCAGACAGCAGGCCAAAGGGACAGGGACACTCACCTCCCAACACGAGTTGGCAATCTGGCAACCGGCCTGGCCGACTAGACGCGTACAAAGTCAGCATCAACAAATATACATGCAGGAGCAGCAGCAGCAGCAAAAACAACAACAACAGCGGGACCCGCTCGAGGCCGTCAAGGCGCGTGCGCGTGTGGGGGGTCAGGACGGGAAGCAGCGTACCGTTGAGGGAGATGACTTCTCTCATGATGGTAGAGCTGGCGGGGAGAATGGGAGGAAGTGGGTGGGGGATATGAATTCCAGGTGGTGAGAAGGGCGTCCGGGGGGGGGGCCAAAAGGGAAGGGGGGGGGGGGGGAAAAGAAAGAAATTTAGGCGCCACAAGAAAAGCGGCAAGTAAAAAGGC